GCCGGCCTTGTTCTGCTGCTGCCGCCTCTGCCTCCGCCTCAGGCTCCTCTTCCATGCCCGCCCATCCTAAAAAAGGACAACAATTTTGGGGTTCCCCCCCTTAAAAAAAGGTTGACAACTCTGGGCAACTGGGGGGGGGCGCTGGGTGGATCTTTGCACCCCGGCACCACATATACTTAAGACGGTCCTGCTTAAGTTGCTCAGTTTTGGAGGGGAGTGTTTTGTTTTTGAAAGTATAACTAACAGCTAGTGGGTATTCAAATGCCACCTTATAGGCTACAGCTCCCTTAGAGCCCTATTGAAGGCTTGTATCCTTTTAACACTATATTATGAATATATACTTAAAAGAGTATTGCAGTGTTTAGTGACACTCCCTGTAAAAAGGTAAAGGTACCCCTGCCTGTTAGGTCCAGTCGTGGACGACTCTGGGGTTGCGTGCTCATCTTGCTTTATAGGCTGAGGGAGCAGGTGTTTGTCCGCAGACAGCTTCCGGGTCATGCGGCCAGCATGAATAAGCCGCTTCTGGCAAACCAGAGCAGCGCACGGAAACGGCGTTTACCTTCTCACCTATTTATCTACTTGCACTTGACGTGCTTTCGAACTATTAGGTGGGCAGGAGCTGGGACCGAACAACGGGAGCTCACCCCGTCATGGGGATTCGAACTGCCGACCTTCTGATTGGCAAGCCCTAGGCTCTGTGGTGTAGACCACAGTGCCACCCGCGTCCGACACTCCCTGTAAGTGTACATTATATTGCAGTTTCTGTCTTATACAGTAAAGTAATTTTATGCAAGTCAATTTTAAAATAATTTAAAGCACTTTCATAACAATTTGTACACAATTGAACATTATTTTGACTAGTTTGGAATGTTCTGTTTAACTGATAAATATCCTAATGACAGTGTGTTAAGCTGTACATTTAACATTTATATTGACAATGGCATCTAAGTCCGTGTTAATGTTAGAAATAAAATTTCATGACTTTGGCAATCTGTTGCTGTTTAGCAATAGAATTTATTTTCATATGTAGAGTCACATGGCCTATCAATCAGTTCTATGCTTCCCCATAAAACACTCTCTTTATATTTGTGATGCTGTTAGTTATTATCAGACTGTTGTTCTGAAAAAAAATCTTATTTATGAGTAATATTAAAAGTGGTTCTCATTTTTAAATCAGGACAATCTGTTGTGAACAGATTAGTAACCCAATGTACATCCAGTTTGCCTAGTCTGATGTGCAAAATGAAATTTGATAGCCAAATATCATTTGTATACGTTGGTACCACTAGGGCTGGATTATAGGACCTAGATATTCTTCTTCTTCTTTGGTGACTGCTTGTAGCTGAGTAAGATTGTCTTTCATGAACATGGTTTTAACAGTGAGTCTGTAAGTGACTGTGGAGGCCAATTCTGGATCCACACATCCTTCCACAGTGGAGACATAGGTTTCCAGGTGGGAGTTGATCCTGGTGAGGGTTTGCCAAGCGTGCCTTCTTTTTAGCATATTTCTCCCTTTTGTCCTGAGTTTGAGCTTCTTCAAAGTCTATAACACCTTTGGTAAAAGCTGTTATCCAATTGGAGCACTCGCAGGCCAGTGTTTCCCAATTGTCAGTGTTTATACTACATTTTTAAAGATTTGATTTGAGAGAGTCTTTAAACCTCTTTTGTTGACCACCAGCATCACACTTTCCATTTTTAAGTTTAGAATAGTAGCTTTGGAAGATGATAATCAGGCATCCAAACAACATGACCAATCCAACAAAGTTGATTTTGAAGAATCATTGCTTTAACACTGGTGATCTTTGCTTCTTCCAGTACACTGGCATTAGTTTGCTTGTCTTCCCAATTGATGTGTAAAATTTTTCAGAGACACCATTGATGGAATCTTTTGAGAAGTTGGAGATGGTGTTTATAAGTGGTCCATGCTTCACAAGCATACAGTAAGGTTGGTAGTACAATAGCTTTGTAAACAAACATTTTGGTTTCCCTGCGAATGTCCTGGTCCTCAAACACTCTGTACTTCAATCAGGAGAAAGCTGCACTCATGAAGAAGAAGAAGAAGAAGAAGAAGAAGAAGAGTTTGGATTTGATATCCCGCCTTTCACTCCCTTTAAGGAGTCTCAAAGCGGCTAACATTCTCCTTTCCCTTCCCTCCCCCACAACAAACACTCTGTGAGGTGAGTGGGGCTGAGAGACTTCAAAGAAGTGTGACTGGCCCAAGGTCACCCAGCAGCTGCATGTGGAGGAGCGGAGACTCAAACCCGGTTCCCCAGATTACGAGACTACCGCTCTTAACCACTACACCACACTGGCTCTCGCGATGCTGGATTTCGACATCAATCTCAGCCCTTGTGGAAAGTTAACTGCCCAGGTAGGAGAAATGAACAACACCTTCCAATGTTACACAATTGAGTTGGATTTGTGGTGCTGCATAGGGGTTGTTTTGTGCTTGTTGGTGCAGCACTTTGGTTTTTGGGATGTTGAGCAATAGGCCAAGCTTTTCGTAAGCTTCTGCGAAGATATTTAGGATGGTTTGGAGGTCATCCTCTGAGCGTGCCCACACTATGTTGTCATCAGAATACTGAAGCTCTATGACGGAAGTTATGGTAGCCTTACTCTTTGCTTTCAGCCTACTCAGATTAAATAGCTTTCCATCTGTTTGGTATATGATTTCTACTCCGGTGGGGAGTTTCCCTTCAACAAAGTGTAAGGTCATGGCAATGAAAATAATGAATAGAGTTGGAGTGCTAACATTTATAAATGAATATCATTTATATACATTGGTACCATTAGGGTTGGATTATGGGACCTAAGTATGCAGTCTGGGAGGCTTCCACACAACTCCAGAGAGGCAGCAGCAGCAGCAGCAGCAGCAGCAGCAGCAGCAGCAGCATAGAAAGCCATGGTGTGGTGGCAACACCTGTTCATGCTGCCTGCCACCGCCATTTTTCTTTACATCTCCCCCAAAGCTACAAGAGTGGATGTGAGCTGAGCTTGCCAGATGTCCCCTTGGTGGTTATGGATCCAGTGAGGGCACTAGGCCATCAAGAGCTAGAACTGCTAAGGAGTTAACTTTTCACCACAAAAGCATAGTGACAGAAGGAGTAGGGTGCAGTTGATGGGATTCTGTGTAAAAAACAAAAACCAGGCAGTGTGGCGTAATAATTAGAGTGTTGGACTAGGACCTGGGAGCGCAGGGTTCCAGTACCCACTCAGCCATGAAGCTCCCTGGGTGACCTTGGGCCAGTCACCATCACTTAGCCTACCTCACAGGGTTGTTGTGAGAATGAAATCGGGAGGAGAAGAACCATGTACACCACCTTGATATCCTTGGAAGATAAAGGTGGTATAATAATAATAATAATAATAATAATAATAATAATATGTAAGGTAAAGGACCCCTGGACGGTTAAGTCCAATCAAAGGCAACTATGGGGTGCAGCGCTCATCTCGCTTTTCAGGCCAGGGAGCCGGCGTTTGTCCACAGACAGCTTTCTGGGGCATGTGGCCAGCATGACCAAACTGCTACTGGAGCACAGAAGACCATCCAAGTCAGACCAGGTCCCACACAAAGCCTCATGTCACCCTGTTGCTCTATTTCTGTGCTTTTCTGTGTCATATAGCTCAGCTCTGTGCCTAGATATCTCTGTTTCTCTAGGTCTGTGAAATGTGCAACAAGTGAGACTGTCCAAAATGTTGTCTGCAGAGTTCTGAATTTATTTATTTTAAGCACAATAGCAGATAGCAGAGGATTTAAAAAAATGAATTAAGTTTCTTAAAAATCCTGTATTGCTGTGCTTTTAAAAACCCCAACAAACTAAAACCAGAACTTCTTAGCATTGTAGATAGCCTCCTGTTCTAAGACCTATTGAGAGACCTGTAAAGGCTTATGGGAGGACACAGACAACCATCAGAAAGAAAGGCTGGTGCAAAGCTGCAAAGTTTTAAAATTAAAAGCAAGAATACGTACCTCTCAGCCACTTCTTAATTATTTGAAAGTAAGGAAGATACGCACATACATCCAATATGAAAGGAAAATGAATCCCTTTTACTTCCCCTGCAAACAATTCCTGGAACTATTTGTCTCAAATTTTGCAGGCTTAATCCACTCTGGAGAGGCTCCTATGCCTGTAAATGTCACCCATTTTGGCCAAAAGGGGGAAGATATTACAGCTGTTTTTAGATTCCCCATTACATTAACTGGGAGACCACAGACCTTTGTTTTATAGAGTTGCTTGTAACCCAAAACACAGATAAAAACAGAGACCACAGAGCAGCACAGAATTTTTTTTTAATGCACAGAGAACAGATATAAAATGAATCTTGGGACCCATGCACACCCCTACATTTGCTTTATAAGCTGGAGTTTTCCTTGTTATAGCAGGCACAAAAGAGGTGAATGATGATGACCATAGGGGGAGCAGGTGGGAGAAGTGTAGTCTTGCTGGTACATCACAAGAGTTAAAGATACAGATAGCTTATGGCCTAGCAGCAGCAACCCTACTTTAATGCTGTACTGTTTTTAACACTTGATTGGGAGCCGCCCAGAGTGGCTGGGGAAACTCAGCCAGATGGGTGGGGTATAAATAATAAATTATTATTATACTTCAGGATAGGAAATACTGCATACTAAACACATTCGACTTTGGAATCTTCCACAGTCTGTATCTTTGCTAGGAGCTTCACAGAGATTTGGCTTTAAATTTGAGTCCCTGTCTTAATTATTACAGGGTTTACTTGCTTTGTTATTACATTTATGTTGTGATTAAAATGAAAGGGGATATAGAGAAGTTTAAATAAACAAACAGATTTTGCATGAACATTAATTTACACAATATTTCTAGGCCTGAATCTGGTTAGTTTTTCCTCACTCTGTACATCTTGTTCTGTGAAATATCACACTGTTGTTGTTGTTACTACTACCACTACTACTATAGAATTGTAGAGTTGGACGGGACCATGAGGCTCATCTAGTCCAACCCCTGCAATGCAGAAACCTTTGTTCCCAGTGTGGGGCTCGAACCCACAACTATGAGATTAAGAGTCTCATGCTCTAGTGACTGAGCTATCCATTGCTACTTAACAATTTTTAAGGCCACCCTGCATCTCAGAAGAATTACGGAGCAGTTTCCAAATCGTATAAAATTAAATATTATACAGAACAATATACAAAAACACAACCATAAAATACAACTAAAATTATAAAACTAGTAAACGTTTTACCAGTTTTAATTATTATTTTTTAAATATCCCTATTAACTTGCTTAAATTCCAGCATGTATATATAGCCTGGCAAAGAGCTGTTATTCTGAAATACTTTCATGATAACATCATGTTGCCTTGTGACTAAAAGATGGTATCCCCTCAGAAATAATTCTGTAGCTTTCTCTGTAGGGCAAGGTGACAGGTGCAGCCATCCAGGGCGCAATTCTTGGTGGGAATGGTTGGCATTGTAGAGGCTGAGGAAGAAAAGTTGTTTGTGTTTTTGACTGAGTGTGAGGCAAAATGGTCATGCTATTTACTGCTTGGCAGGGATTAGACACTGCCTGCTTTCTGTCTTAAAAGTTCATACGAAGGTCAGAACAAAAATGCAGTGTGCTAGAATTGTAGAATTGCAATTGACATTTTTAATTTTTCTCAAAAAAATGAAGGGTGGGGCTGTGGAGACGTCAAAGGTAGTTAAGCAAGCCCAAGGCATAACAATGACCAGTTGCAATCCTGTTTCTTCATTTTGCTAGTTTTCTCTCTTTGCATATATCATTGTGAGGAGGCTAATATCTTTTCTGCTATGAACAGCTAGAATGCTGAAGGTGCACTAGTTTTATTTCTGAGATGTTTTGCAAAGGCGTAGCTGACAGCTTCCAATAAATTAATAATTATAAGTGTGGCAGCCATGCTGGCGTTCATTATAGTTGAGCTGGCAAAGCAATCCTCTCCTTTTATCTGTCACAAAGTGGGTTTCTTAAATTATATGTGATTTTCTTTTATGCCTGTGGAAGCATTCTGACCTGCCGCTTACCTGTGGGCATGCAAATAAGCACACATGGATATGCATGCGCGCGCACACACACACACACATACACATACACTCTGAGTATGGTTTTATATCCTTCTTGCTGGTCAAGCGTATTGATTGATTGATCTTTATTACGGCCATTGGCCCGTCACACGAGAGTTTCCCATACCAACATAATGTACATGAACCTCCAAATTTAAAACCGTCAAAACTTACAAAAAACAGACAAGAACCAAAGCAGAACAAAAACAAAAGACCAACATCATATGTTGCAATAAATTTGTAACATAACCATCACCATCTGCTCACAGATCAATAAAAGACATCAATGGTGATTCACCTAGTTACATCCTAAAACATAGATCATGGTTTAAAGGGATTTTCCGAGCCACACAGGAGTCCGTTTCTCTTCTTTAGGGATAGGACACTGATCAAGAATCTGGCAACCGTGAGTGATCTTAGGGGGTCATCATCATTTAATAGATATCTCAGTTTGGCTTCATTCGTATCATCGGCAATTCCCTTTAGATATTGGGCAAGAAACTTGCTCCTGGCCGATGAGTGAAAAGCACAGTCAAAAATTATGTGATGCAACGATTCCGGTGCCCCACAATTACAATCACATAAGAGCGATATCTGTCCATTGGAGAATCTATTTCTCAGCATGTTCGATGGGAAGGTGTTGAATCTTGCCTTTACAAAGGCATATCTATGAGCCGAAGAAGTTAAGGAATTCAAATAGTTTGGGAGCCTTAAGAGGGGTGATAAACCAAGGTTTAGAGGTGAGCAGGTACCATTGCCCAAGACCATTTTCTGCTGCAAGTCCATCTCCTCTAGTTTACAGGTTACTGTTCTTTTAGCTGGAACTATGTCCTGCTCTAGTAATTTGGATGGGGAGATTCCCATTGTCATTATTTTCAGCTGTAAATTTTTTACCCATGGGCTCTGGAAATCATCTCTCCACATACATTGTATCAAGTACAAGTTTGGGAGATTGTGCCATAGAGATAACCAGTGACAAAGTATGTGCTTCCACAGAGCGTTTTCCAGGGATACAGTATTAAGTTCCATGCGTAACGCTGTATTACTTACACAGTTGGGCAGTTTCAATATCCCTCTTAAAAACTGATTTTGAATAACCTCTAGGTGAGATAGATTGACAAAAGTCCCCCAAATTGAGATGGCATAGGCAATTGTCGGGATCACCTTGGCCTTGAAGACTTTCAACGCCGATGGGATATGAAGAGCCCCATCGGTGAAGAAGAATCGCAAGATCGCCAAGGAGATAGCTTTGGCTCTATTTGTAACATAGGCTACATGGGCCTTCCATCTAAGGTTATGTTGTAACCAAACTCCCAAGTATTGGAATCTATAGACTTGTTCGATGACTCTCCCATCAATTCTCCAATTATGGAGTTTCCGGCTCTTTGAGAAAATTAGAATCTTAGATTTTCCATAATTAATTGTAAGGGAATTTGCGTTACAGTACGATCCAAAAATTTTTAAGGCCCTCCTGAGACCTACTCTAGAAAAGGAAAGGATGACTGCGTCATCCGCATACAGTAACAAAGGGCAGCGATAAAGTGCTAGGCGGGGTGCATGAATCCTTTCTTGAGCCTCTATTAGGGGAGTCCTCATATCGCTTATGAATAAGTTGAACAGGAATGGAGCCAATATACAACCCTGTCGGACACCTCTGTTAATGGGAATTGGATTGGTGAGATCACCCTCCGGGGTGAGTCTCACTCTAGCCGCTGAGTTCTCATGGAGTTTGATTATTAGCCAGAGAAGCCTTCTATCGATGCCCCAGCGGGAGAGTTTTTCCCAGAGGATGTTCCTGGGGATACTATCGAATGCTGCCTTTAGGTCAATGAATGCCACACAGAGTTGGCCACCCTTTGGGGTGGAATATTTCCAGGCAAGATGCTGTAAAATTAGAATATGATTAATTGTTGACTGTTTTGGGCGGAATCCAGCTTGTTCGGGCCCAATTAATTTTTCTCTTCGGCACATTGGTTAAGTCTGTTCAGCAAGAAGCGGGCATACAGTTTCCCCACTATTGAGAGTAGACTGATATTTCTGTAATTCCCCGGGTCATCTGGTGAGCCCTTTTTGTGGATTGGAACGATAACAGCGTCCTTCCATACTTCCGGGATCTTTCCAGAGTTGTTAACGGCATCGAAGATGGTCGCCAGAACTTTAGCCCACCAGTCCGCGTGGTATTTTATAGCTTCTGCCGGGATCAGGTCTGGCCCAGGCGCTTTCCCTGTTTTGAGTTTAACGATCAAGTCATGGATGTCTTCCGGGTCGGTGGGGGGCCAGAGGGGAAGCTGATCTTGAAAATCATCTCTTGTGTTAGCAATACAGTCAGTTGTGGCAAAGTAGTTTTTAAGTAGGATTCCCAAACCGGGGCAGGAATAATAGTCAAAGGGTATCTTTTAGTTCTTTTATTTACCAGGAGCCAAAATTGTCTGGAGTTCCGTGATGATGAGGCTTCTATGATTGTTCGCCATTGATTCACTTGCCATTCCTGTCTGGCTCCCTTTTGAATTTGCTTGTAGGCTGATTTTGCTTGGAAGTATTCTTTTGGCAAGACCGTTGCCCCGGAGGCTTTATACTCTTTGTAGATGTTACCAAGAAGTTGTCTAGCCTGTTTACAAGCACTATTGAACCACAAGGCACCTATCTTCCTTTGTGTTCTATTTATTTTATGCGTCGGGACAGAGAAAAAAGACGTTAGATCTTCTGACAGATTCGAGAATAATCTTAGAGTTTGGTCATAATCATAATAATTCTCGATTAAGCCTGAATATGCTTGTTTTAGCCCTTGTTGGAAATATGCTGAGTATTTTTGGGCCTGTAGTTCGGACCATTTTACACTTTTGATTTGCAATGCTGAGTTCGTAGTCAGATGTGTTGGGTGCTTGTCTCCATCTGGGGTCCAGTCTATAGTCATTGTGGCGACCAACGGTAAGTGGTCGCTCAGTTGAAAGTTTTCGACTTTAAAATGGGAAAATTTGGGGAATATGTCATGAGATACTAACATATAATCCAGGACACTGTTTGCAGAGGAGCTTATGTGTGTAAACTCACCCGGTACGTCTGGCGGGCAGTTCCCGTTTAGAATCACTAAGTTTAGACGTAGTACCAATTGGTAAAGAAGGGTTCCTGCTTCATTTACCCTTTTGTCTTTAGAAAGTCTTTGATTATGGAGGGAGAGGTCATTAATGAATTCTGGGGTTATCCACCATTTGGCTTTGATTAAAGACTCCCAGTTTGTTGCAATGCGAGCATTGAAGTCCCCTGCTATAACATTGGGTATATTGGGGTATTTGGAGTGACAATGAGTGAGATGTTCCTCCAAGATTCCCCATTTATTGTGTAAGTCTGCAATATTGCCTCCAGGAGGAAGATAAACATTTGTTATAACAAGTTCAAAGTTTTTCCCGTAATCAGGGCTGTAATTGCAAAGATGGAAGCATTTACAAGCGTGAGTTTTGCCTGTATTTTCAAGGAAATTGCTATAACTAATCCTCCACTGGGCCGGCCTCCTTTAGTAGACGGGCATGCCGGTAATGATGTAACATCAAAACCATTAATATCTACTCTCCCTCTTCCCATGTTTCCTGCAAGAGAATTACTTGGTGTGAGTTTATTAGTTTTACAAAGTCCGGGTCAGATTTTTCCCCTTCCAACCTGCTATGTTCCAGCTCACAAGGGAGAACGGGGGGGATTTGACTGAGGTTTGGGTAGTCACAATGGGGAAGGGGGGAACGCTGATCTTGGTGGGTTGTCAAATTTAAAGAAGTCAGTAATTTTCCTTTGACTAATAGTAGATGACTTCTCTCCTTTTGGCACAGATGTACCTCTTGAGCTATTTGTAATTCTGCTTTGCTCACCCGATCCTATAGGGGTAGTGTCCTGGTTTGATCTGGTCTCCTCTCTGAAATCCCTTGTTTTATCCGAGAGCTTATCACCTAGGGGGGCAGAGATTAAGTCGGTACAAGTTTTAACTATTATTAGATTTCCCTCCGTGGGTGTATCATCTTATTTATATGGCCCAAGGGGTCTTCTGTCCAGTCCATATCGATAGCGGTTTGAGCTTCTAAATCAACAGCTTGAGATTCTCCGTCCGATAATGATGACTCCAGGTCAGGCATTGAGGAATGTGTCGAAATTTTGTTTACATTTTGCTGTTCTTTAGTAGGTGTAACCATTCCGGCTGATGCAGGAAGGGCTGGTTCCAGATTAACTAATAGGGGTGGCGAGACAATTGTCTGTATCGTTGCCTTGGATTTTATGGACCTATTTTGAGGCTGTGGGCTAAATTTGAGAAGGTCCACTGAGCCTCCAATGGCCCTGTTGGTTTGAATTTCTTTGTTTCCTATTTTGCTTTTGGCCTGAGACATCTTCTCTCTTAGTTTATCTAATTTATTTATTATTTTTTCTTTTTCTTGTGACTGTAATTCATCAAATGAATTCATAAGGGCGCTTTCATCATTAGATATTCTGGAGCCACCCAAGTCCGTTCCTGGTTGTGGACTGCAACTGGTCAAGCGTACTGCTGTCTCTTTCCTAATCAAAGGGCAAGTGGAGGCAACACTTCTTGGCACTCTGGAATAGTATGTCGATTATTTTGCAGTCTCCCTCTTAAAGGGCTAAGCCTGGGGAAAGGAATAAAGCCACAGGTCATGCATTACATTAACTTTCTATTTTAAAGTGGCTTATGCCATATTAAAGAATTATTGCTGGAGGTCACAGCCATCAGTGTATATGAGGAATGGTTTAAAAAAAACAAACAAATCCAATTTGTTTATGTTAAATCACCCATGTAAATCATTTAGTTGTTTGACTACATAACAGTTCATAATAAGACTCCATATATATACAGTATATATGAGAGTTACAAAGTAAATGGGAATGAGAACATTAAAGATGATGTCCAGTTGTGGTGTTCCACTTGTGTGATAGGCCTTTGCTTGTGAAACACCCCTCTCCACATGCCCCTCAATCTATGCTGGAGGGTGGGAGACCTTTGGAGCTGAATTGTGTTGAGGAGCTACAGGAGGAAGAGAGGGAGCCAAAATGGCTACTTTTGCAATTACTGTAAATGTTGCCTGAACATTGGCAAAATAGACTATTATATAATGAGTTCATTTTCATAGAACAAGATAATAATTTATTCTTACTTACTCATGATAACAACTGTGTCATCATTATTAAAAAATGTTGGAAGCCTTAGGGAATATGGGTTTTTTAATAGTATTATAATTAGTGGGCCTGAGTCTTGTATATTCACCTTAATATTGAATAGCCATACCATTGTTGGAATATGAGTGGTGGTGTATAAGAGTAAAGATGCCATTACTTCAAGTCCCCCCCGCCCAAAAAAACCCCCTGTTGTCATCAGTTTAATCTAGAGAATGAGAGACATGAGAAATGCGGTGGATATGGATGGTTTGGGGCCTGAAAGAAGATATAGTTTCATGAATCTCCAAATCTTTCCCTGTGCTTGTTGAATTTCCCTGTGCTAGTTTCCTCTCTTTGTTCTACAGCACTGGAAAAGAGGGTGAGTGGAAATTGTGCAGTGCTTCTTGTTTTTCAAATGACAACACCCTAAGCCTTCATCCAGGAGCTGAGTAGTGTCACTGCACCTTTTTCTCATTCCTCAACCATCATTCCATATTATTGGGAGAAGGAAGTATGTATGGTGCAATACCATTCAGTGTATGGTTGCTATAACAATTTTGTCAGGGCAAATGTGTTTTTTATATATTTAACAACATTTATATACTGTTTGATTATAAGAAGAGCTCTAAGCTGTTTAAACTTTATATACTAATAGTAACCCCTTGAACTTGGCCCCATATTAGATAAAGGACTGGGATCTTCCTGAGTCACTTCTCAAAGTCTTGGCCTGAAGCTTATACAGTGGAACCTTGGTTGTCGAACATAATCTATTCCGGAAGACCGTTTGACTTCTGAAATGTTTGACAAGCGAGGCGCAATTGCCGGTCGGCAAATTCCTTTTAAAAAATGGAGAAATGCGCCTTGGAAGCTGTTCAACTTCTGAGGCGCATTCAAAAATGGAAGCATTCACTTCCGAGTTTTCGGTGTTCACGTTCCGAATTGTTTGGCTTCCGAAGCATTCGACAACTGAGGTTCCACTGTATAGTATTAGGCATGATGAGATAGTCAGCCTTCAGACTCTTACGCACTAGACCAAACTGGTTTCTAACCAGGCTACATATTATCTGTTGTGGGAAAATGACCATTTTCGTATGGGGCTGAAGCATTTTAGAGACATTATGGGTGGTATTCAATTCGCCATGATGACAAGGTAGCTTGCAGAAGGAGCATTACAGAATCCTCATCACTGCAGTCCCCCGTGCCCCTTTCCCTCAATAGGCCTCTCTTCAGGGCCTTCAGGAAAGGCCTGGGATGCAGGCGAGGGCACCAAGTGGTGTGTGGCAGGATAGGAAATTGCCCTTCAGTAAGCTGTCTTGCTCTTGCACAGGATTGGATACAACTCTAGATTTTCAGTAACCATTGTTGGAACCTGAAGTAGTCATAGACATCTAAACAGTAGAAATACACAGTATTCTAAATACAGAATTTCAAGGAAGATTAAATACTTCCATTTAATTTCCCCACCCCTTTAAGAACTCATACCCCTGAAACTTTAAGTAATAGCATGTGTCTATATTTAAACACCAACTTACTTTCTGGGAAGTAGGGCACCTACAGGTTGACATAAGCATTTGCTATACAAGCAAGCAGTGCCATTGTTGTGTGTAGCAAAGGGGCTTGTCTTGTAGTTTCAGAATAACTTTCACTCATAAGGAACAAGACAGGCTTTCTGCTGGAATGGTCTGAAAAAAGCAGGCATTGTCATCTTGCATTGACGATCCTTCACAGAACTTGCCATAACCACAAAAGCAGCTTTCTGGGTAGTGAAAACAAATTGTGTTCTGTGCAGTGAAGAGAACAACTGAAGGTCAGAAGGCAAATTCAGCTTCATGTGACAAGTGTTGTTGATATGCTCGTTGCTCAAGATGCAAGCAAGTGCTTTTCACGTTGGATGGGTGCTGAAGCAAAAGGAGGTGATTGCCAGCAGAAATGCATTCATGAAATATTGTGCCAAGTCTTTTACTTCGCATGACATTTATGCCTGTGCCTTTTGAAATCACAAAATGTTACTTATTGAAGGATAAAAACACAGAAAAACAATTGAGGTGGAGTGACTTTCATGAACTTGACAATGAACAGCAAATTGTAAAGGGGTATAGTCAGAATTTCGCTTCCTGAAATTCTCTAGGATTTTCTCCAGCTGGAAATGGAAAATATTAAAACATCATGAAAAAGTTGCAGTTGGATTTGAAAGCATTGCAGTCAAAGCTGCTTCTGCTTTGTGTATACTCCTAATTTCATTTAATGCTATTGTCTTCTGTACTTTAATGAACAGATCAATCACCAGGAGCTGGGAAGCATGTACACACAATGCAACATTTATTAATATGTATCATTAATGGGCTCCTCCTAGAGAGAGATTATAATATACATAACAGAGGTCACCAATCTTTGGGGGCCTGTGGGCAGATTTTGTAAACCAGACAAAATGTTGTGGGCACCACACACAAACAGCCTTGCAACCAAGCACACACCACAACCTATTTTATTGGTCACAAATCCTTCAGATTAGCCCCTCTGCTTGGATTAGGAGAAACTGCTGCAGGCTTGAGCCCTGCCATAGAGCAACATATGATATGAGCATCATAAAAATCTTGTTAACACTATCATTGCCTGCATGGATCCTGAACTGAACCATAAATCAGTGCCAGCAAAGTTTTGTTTCAGGGGCCAGCCGACAAATGACCATATGAGCCTCCTTCATTCCCACATGCTAGGACTTCTATAGCCTCAGAACTGCTGCCTCAAAAGCTGGAAGGCTGCAGATTTCTTAGAGTAACATCAGATATAGTAGAAGCCATTGTAGGGTAGAGAAAGTTGGAGATGTTTCAAAAACGGAAAAACTTTCCGACAGTAAGAGCTGTTCAACAGTGGAACAATCTCCTTTGGGAGGTTGTGGACTCCTTTCCTGGAGAATTTTTAAGCAGAGGCTGGATGGCCATCTGTCATGGATGCCTTAGCTGAGATTCCTGCATTGCAGGGCGTTGGACTAGATGACTCTTGGATCCCTTCCAACTCTACGATGCTATGATTTTATGAATATGTGGGTCCAATGTTCTAATTACTACTACTACTACTCCTACTATTAAAATCTGGTTCCTTATCATGCTTAGGTTGTTGGAGAAGGTTTTAATAATTGTGTGATTGCTTGTAGTGATCCAGTTGACTATCTAATATTTTATAATTTCTATATGTAACCCACTGTTATTGGAGTGTATTGTGTACGTTTTATTGTGTAGGTTTCCTTGAGAGAACTGGTGTAAGGCAGTGAGTAAGTAAAATAGCCAGGTGTTGTGGCCTGGCTACTGGACCACTGTTATGTGGCTTATCGTCATGATCTGCCAAAATAATGGAGCCCTGATTTATTGGAAGCTGCTAGGAAAGGATAGTTGCATATGTTTTTGTATGATCATTGATGGGCTTCCATAATGCATCTTATACACTGTTGCCATTGAAGAGCAGCCTATCTTTTATTAGTTGATAAGTCGTCCTGTTTTGTATCCACAACATTGCCTTCCTCCTTGCTTCTGAACACAATTTCAGATGCTGGTCACTATTACCTGTATGACCTTGGGCTAGTGTAATGAGAGGAGCCATTGCTCCCAAATCAACTAACTTGTTGTGAAATAATGTAGTGAAATTCTGATTTTGATGTCATGAAATAAAATCAAGTTAAAGCATGGAGCCCTCTAGAACAGGGCACCACTTATAAATCCCCCTTCCCTCAGAGAGACTCTACCTTATCAGTTTTAAGAGTCAGTGCTTGCTTGCTTTTTTAAGCAGGCCTTTCTGCTGATTCTAAGGTTGATTTTTAAGCAACTTAGACTGTATTTTTCGAAAGAGAAAAGTGAATCTTGATATTTTTGACATGTTAGATTTGAAGTTGAGTTTGGAAAGAGGTGGGGTGGAATGTTTGGAAATACATTTGAATTTATTATGGAGAAACTTCTTCCACCAGGCGCACTCACACACACTGTATTCATTGGTTACTTTCTACAAATTTCTTTGTCCAGATTTTTTTTTCATGCCTGAAGGCAGACATGTCTTTTCATTTAGTAGAAGAGCCTCATGCCTGTGGAATCCATTTAGACCGTAACTGAGTGCCTGAAAGCTTTTATTGCTAACAGTGGCTATTTAGAAACTTGATGGACTGGTAATCAGAGCTGGACAGGTACACTTCCACTTGCACTCAAGGCAAGTTGAGATTCTCTGGTGCTTCCTTGTGTTTCAGTATGCAGCTTAGCTTTTTTCAAATTCTGCCAGTTCTTTTCAGTGCTCTTTAGTTTCTTTTAAAAGACACTTTAATTGAATCCCCTTTTTCATACTTGGCTTAGTTCTCCTTAGTACCTTTTTTTCTTTTTTCTTACTTATTAGAGATTTAAATATTTGGAACAGGCAATGCTGCCATTCTCACTGCAGTGCCATTATGAATTGCGACTGTAGTGGAAAGAATATTGAAAGAGCTTGTTGTTCAGATTTGAGGGTGATGTAAACAACTTCTATTTGAGTTTGGGTAATGAAGCACATAGTGGCTTTGATAGACTTTTCCAACCCTGCTTTAATTAACTCATCTTTTGCAGCATCTGGTCCTGTCTAGGATATTATTACCTGAACTAGAAAGATTGGTCTTAATGCAGCAAGACTATTTTTTCTGTCTTAAGAAATGAAACAAAAAAGTGATGGGTGGGGCAGGGCAATATTTAAACTTATATACAAAGTGACCAAAAAGTATATGAAGCATTTTTATCATACCCATGTCCATATTCAAAACCTAAAGAAATGCCAACTCTATAATTTTCAGGGGTTTTTTGCATGAATATTATTTTCTTAGAAAGTGTTGGTATTTATATAGCAATTCAGGCATTTGAAATATGCCACAATATCTATAATTAGAATTGGAGGACATTGTTGACAGTACAAGCATAAGCATGTTCTTTACTCTGTTTGCAAGACAAACAAATTAGCAACTTTGTTTAGCAAAATATATGCTAAAGATAGAAAGTAAATAGTTAAATTGTAACTGAGTGTCGGTTGAGAATACAGTACAGTGGTACCTCGGGTTAAGTACTTAATTCGTTCTGGAGGTCAGTTCTTAACCTGAAACTGTTCTTAACCTGAGGTACCACTTTAGTTAATGGGGCCTCCCGCTGCTGCCGTGCTGCTGGAGCACGATTTCTGTTCTCATCCTGAAGCAAAGTTCTTAACCCGAGGTACTATTTCTGGGTTAGCGGAGTCTGTAACCTGAAGCGTATGTAACCCAAGGTTCCACTGTACTAATTTTTTTTGACAGGATTTAGCACAAAGTTTCTGTTTTTTTGCTATGAGTTTTTAAAGATACAACTTTTGAGAACTCTGAAATTTGCAAAGCAAAAATTTGTCTGGGGGTGAGGGCTGGAACTGACACTAAACAAATTATATTATGATTGCCTTAGTATCTTACATGGGATTTGATACTGGGCTGATGTCTTATAATTACAGATAGCTGATGGAGTCTAACATTTATAGGTGTGCAGTACGCTCAGGCAAAATGAACATTTCTGAACTCACCCATTAAGCTTAGTTCAACTGACTGTTTGAAACAAGTTTCAGGAGCCCAAGGCCAGCCCATCCATTAAGCTGGGTGAAGCAGTTCCTCAGGCGGTGGAAGCCCCAAGGCTGCATCCTTGTGAGTACCGCACTGACCCTGCTTCTGGTTGAGAAGCATCATTGTCATTGGTGCTCATTTTCTGCAAGATCTTGCTGAATCTCACAAGGTTTCATGGATCACAAGAGATTTTGCCAGAAATTGGTGACAATGGCAGTGCCGCTTCTCTGCCAGAAAAGTGGACGCAATGGTGGCACCAAAGAGGTGGCTTCTGCAGTGGCAGCGGAGGCACCAGGGGTGAGCAGAATGGGGCAGCACTTTCCATTTCAGAGAGTAAAATGGGACATGCCACCCCTCCATGAGTCCAAGTTGTGAACATTGTTTTAAAAAGTTTGTGATATGGAACGAAACATTTTATTTAGCTAATACAAGAATGTTGTGGGCCTAAGCATCATCATAATTCTAATTAGACTCATCATCGTATATTTTTGGAAAGTTGTTTACTTGTTTGTTATGCATTAGGACATCTTCTGAGATACTGTAACCAAATTTTGCATGATAGTTCCTGATATCAAGGAGCAGGTTTTCTGTTAGGAATGTGATTATCCAGTACAAATATGGGAGGATAATCAAGCAGTAATCTCTGGTAGATTCTGAGCAGTTTAAAGGTAAATCAAAACATATAGAGATTAAATATCAAAATATAAGAGAAAATATTAAACAAAACCTCAAAATGTTGAAATACTGTGAGAGCAAGCAAAATGTGTCAGATATATTTACAAAAGCCCTTACATTTGAGAAACATGCACAACTGGTGACAAAATTAGGAGTTGTGTTGCATGATGTATAAATATGTTTTGTATATATTTATGGCATTGTATTGTTTCTGTTTGAATGAGAGGGGGTGTTAGGAAGTCATTCTGTAAAGAAACAGAATAAGGTGCTTGTAGCTTTAAAGAAGTTTTCTTTAATAGTTAGGAGTGACACTCTAGGCTGATTGGTTTCAGCTGGGAATGAAAATAAAAAAACTAAACCTTTCAAAACTCGACTGATTTGAACCAATTTTGCATGTTGGTTCCTGAATATGTTTTTGTTTATGTTTGGGTAGGATTAGATGCCATTTTGAGTAAAAATGGCAGACCTTTTAAAGATGAACCTTTTTAAACTGCACTGAATTTATCCACTAATTTCAAAACTGCATGGCTTTTTTGTTTTTTTAGAATTCCCAAGCAACACCAGGTATGTGGCTTCTGGTCCTCTATATATCAGATTTCCAGAGCTTTAGTTACAGTATATTTGTGGTCCTTTTAGCAGACCAATAAGGTAGGATAGTGTTAATATATTCATGTTGTGGATCAGACAGAGAGAATATTATTTTGCATCATATTTTTATGACCCATTATAAAGAGATAACTTTTCTTAATACAGCAGTCATTTTTTAAAAAACAGCAATTTTTATCTCTTTCTTGTTTACGAGAAGCTCTATGAATTGTAGTGTTTGTGTTTCTTTCTTAGGTTTTCAGGTTATTTTTAATTAATGTGTAAAGACTTCAATTATCTTAAGTAGTTATACATATATATGCACATGCAGAAGGCTGACAGGAGGCTTTGGAGCAACTGTGCACGATCTTGTGAATTTTAGGCTGAGAATGTCTCTCGGGAGTCCTGCTTTCTATCATTTAAAAAGCTTTTATAATCACTTAGTCCGAAACAGTGATGTAGGCCAGAGTTTGAATCCTTGGCATATTGCTTATAATGCTGCATTAGCTTAATCCTTCATTTTCTTGTCAATTAAAGACTTATCTTTATTCACAGATTTGCTTATCTCATATTCTTAGTGTATTTTAATGCTTGTAGTTAAAATCCCTTTGTTTATGGCAATAAGGCACTATTCAGTTTGTGAACTTTATAAAACCAACCTCTGCCAATTTCACTGTTTGAGAAGAGCTGTAAAGAAGTGTTCCCACAGTAATTACTTATTCCAGAGATGTTCACAAAAGAATGAAGTAAGGGGAAAGTGTATAAAACAATTGTATGCTAGCTGAGGCAACCTTTGCGCAGCACCTTCTCAGCATTTATTTCGAAGAAGAAATCTTTGGAAAATGGTTCACAGAAATCTGTGCAGTTCCATATTGTGACTTTACAGATATTGGTAATTAATGAATGTATTCACATTTAAATCGTAGCCTATCCCTCAGGTTTGTGAAACAGCAATGAATACTTTAGAATATGGGCCCTAGATGCCCGTCATTACCTGCTGTGAATAGCATAGGTCATGATGACTAGTGTCATTCATTTCATATACCCTCTTGGGCCATTGAAAAAGGAGCAGGATGGTGAGAGGAAGGCAGGGGAAACGTAAGAAAGTGAACATTTGATAAAATCCAGGGTGGTTGTCACTTCATTATATATCTAAATTTTTGAAGTTTCTTTAACTATTTAACTATATTCCTATCATAGCTATGGACTGAAAGGTGGGCCTCTGGTGCCAATTGGGAATAATTCTATGTATTCCAAGCATTAGATTGTCAAAGGATCCTTACGGTACTACACCATCTTGTTTACTTTCCTCTGTGAGGGTACTGGGAGAATGTTTGTGAATATTTCGAATGAGGTATCATTAATATGATGACTGATAATGAGCTAAATTTATCCTTTCATCTAGTTCAGATCCTGTAGTCTCAGTGTTTCCTTAGTGCTCACTGCCCAGCATTCACGAGGAACTAGAATGGAGTAAGCTAGTTCATGTAAAACTGAAGTAATATCTGAAAGTATTGTTATAATGGTTGAGCTCCTCTTGTCAATCAGGTTTGCAGACTGCCTCTAGTGTAGACATAAACACAGAATCATAGAGTTGGAAAGGGACCCTGAGGATCATCTAGTCCAACCCCCTGCGATGCAGGAAAATGCAGCTTTGTTTTTCAGGGATTGAACCTGCAACCTTGGCGTTATCAGCACCATGCTCTAACCAAGTGTGCTATCCATGTAAAATGGGAACTGATGTCTTCATGGGGTCAGTGACACAAAAAGTGTCTGTCTGCTGGCATGTACATACTAGCAGCTAAAATTATTGTTACTAGTATAGATTTATTTATACCCCACCATTTCCCTTGAAGGGATTCAAGGCAGCTTACAGATAAAAACAGGAATTGATAAAAAGATAGAAAATTCAATCATTAAAAAACAATTAAACATTGATTGAATTAAAGCTCTCTCTCTCGCGCGCGCGCTCTCTCTCTCTGTGTGTGTGTGTGTGTGTGTGTGAACACACCAGTAATTATAATAAAAGCAGCACAGCACCAGTTCTGTGACTAAAAAGTAATCAATTCTCCAAAGCCTGTTGGAACAAGAAAGTCTTCACCTGCCGATGGAAGGAAGGACAGCAAAGAGGGAGCCAGTCTAGCTGCTCTAGGGAGGGAGTTCCAAAGTCTGGGACCAGCCTCCAACAAGAAAACAATATATACCTATTCTCTTATCTTTATGCTGTTAAAATAGTATTGTGAATATTTCCTGGACAGCCAACTTTTATAGTCCCTTGGTTTCCCTATAGGTAATTAAACAAAGCACAGTGTATACGTTGCAGCCAATAGCATTGCTTTTAAAAGCAGTCCCTGTAATTGTAAATCACATTAGAAGGCATTTTGTAATACTTTTTTTTTTACAGCATCCCCTTTCAAAGCAGTATCACATATTAAACAGTATGACTCCTTGTGGTGTGTCAAAATATTTTGATAATAGAATGATCACATGATTACAGTCTTTAGCGCTATCTTCCCAAGCTACTGATTTTTGCGTGCCAAGATGTATCTTGAGGTCGCTTTTGCTTCGCTGTCACTAAGTTTACAAATATTTCCAATTGTGTGAGTGTCCAGAGTATTGCATTGCTGTGAGAAGAGAATCTATTTTTCATTAGACTTGTGATCAACCATTTCTGTCATATTGAAATATGGAGACTCACTCTGTGTTGCAAAAGATATCAGTGACATTTTTAATCAGCAGGAAATCACAGAGACAATGCGTAACTGCCGCTTCCAGCTCTCTTGCTTGCTAGCCTATGAACCGCACGTTTACTTTCCTGCTTGAACCTCTGCTTCCGGACCTGCATTATTGGAAAATGACATTTTCCTTCCAGAAACATTGCTGAATTAGAATTCTACGTAATCTGCAGAGATAAATGGGAGTGCTTCATGTAATTTCAAAAATCAATCCTCTTCTCACTTCGTAGGAGAAAAAAAATGAACCCTGGTTTCTCACACATTTCTATTATGATTTCCATTCTAATCAACTTTTGGATTTTTTTTAATCAGGTCACATCTCAAATCTTGACCATTAAGAACCTTGGATCCAGTCTTGAAAACAAAAAGCTGAGCATCCAGCCAGATGAATGCATTAGAACATCCCATTTATTTACTACTGGAGTTGGCCACGACAAACCCATTTGTGTTCTGTCATAGCCTTCCAGAAAATATGACATATAGAATACATGCTATCTAATGAGCAAAATCAAGATCACCTGGGATATCTGTTATCAGACGTCCTGATTACTACTGTTGTTTCTAACATTTAAAACAATGGCAGAGGTGCCTAAATTTTATCAGCACTGGGGGACTTTTTAAACCCTTTTCTCTATCTAAATATTCTCTCCAAAGCTAATGTGGGGAATGGAGGAATCTGGTTACTCGTTTCAGATTCCTGTTTCTATTTGATTTCTCCAATAGGCTATGTAGTGTTGGGGAAGTGATTTAGAGTGGCAATATGATGTGGAACAGAAAGTTTAAACCAGAGGTGGCCTAACCAATGGCCCCCAAGATGTTTCTGGACTACTTTATCCATGATTACTTGTCAACTGGCTGTTGGAAAGTGGAGTGTAACAACATCTGGAGGGCCATACACTGCCCACCTCTGGGTTAAACATCCCTGCTCCACAGCAACATTGCTGTTGTCAACATGGGAGCTATCACATCATCACTGGCTTCTGGATCTGAAGTACTCCAGGGTTGGAATGTGTGGTTGTGCTTGAGTGCGCACACATCACAATGCATATAGAACTCATTTTAGACTTTCTAATGAACACACAAAGGTTTAACCTTTCTTCTGGAGCCACACCTTCAGACTGAAGGTCTGAAAAGGTTTTTTTAAAAACAAAAAACAAAAACACCTTTGTTCACGTTAGCACGCTAATGACTCCTACATTTTACATAGGTCTTTTCAATTGTATTTTATGCTTAGTCTGCAGAGAAAAACAGAAGCTATTCTTCTGCTGAAAGACCAGTTTTGCCTTTGGCCCTCCCTCAACTATCACCTAGTGGCAGCCACTCCATCAGGCTACCTGAACCGCTTCCATTCCAGTGGGTTGTTATAAAAACAGTAACTTGGTTTTCTGAGATTGCTTTATTTCTCCTTCCCCCTCCATTTTTCCTTGCGTGCCATGCCTTTTAGATTGAAAGCCTGAAGTCAGGGACTGTCTTACTACTCTGGGATCTTTTTCAGGTAAAGGCTAAAAATGCCTTAAATAAGCAAATAAATATGTAAACATGACCACAAGAAACATGACCTCTGTTACATGATGAGGAAGCAAACACTATGTATTGAAGTTGCCTAGTGGAAAAGCCTGCCAAAATACACACACAGCCTTCATTTAACTGTTTCTTTAACCTCACATTCCTCAGATTCAGTATTAGTGTACATTTCATTCTAAATATATAAATGTGCAGTATTGGTGTTATATAGCTTGGAAACCATTTGTGCAGTTATATTTCTACATTGTCAATTATACGGTAACCAATAGTTGTCAATTATCCTAGCTGGTAAAATTACAAAGTGAAATGTACGATTCACAAATTATATCCTGTAAGTAAAAAGGCAGCCCTTTGGGAGGATGTTTTAATATCTTAAATATTTGGCATGTTAGTATAATGACATCACTGATCAGACTGACTGATTTTATGAAGATATCTTTGCCAACTGAAATCTGACATAGCTATATTCATCAGACTTCCAGAAGCCCATGGCCTCTCTGCCTATTTGTAAAGTAAGGGACTGTCACTGTGGTATAAGAAAACAATTTTACTTTGTTAGATACTGGAGAAAATTTTTTTACAGATACAATTTGCTTTCTTATAGCACAGTGATGTTGGAAGGAGTTTTACATTAAGAAATAGAAGTGTTGGCGAATGGAGAAATAAGGTGAGCCCATGCAATTAAACACATTGTTTTAATACATGGCCACAAGGGGGCAGAATAGACAAACTCAGGCTTCTTTTAATATTTCAAAGCGAAGGTTGTATTTGCATTTCTGAACAGACAGACAGCTACAATCACATTTAGATCACAGAATGCAATAGACGTTCTGGACAGAATATGAAAGCCTATGGTCGCTCCTCTAACGCCAAGGTAGTTGATGTCACACTAAATGGAAACGTGTCCCTATTTATTTATTTTCCAATTATCTGTTTAGCACGACTGGATCTCACTCCTTTTTGGCTGTTCAGACATCTAGTTTCTCATGGTATAGTCTGAAGGCACACAAAGCCACCACCTTGCTGACACCTAAGCAGATCTGGGTCTGGTTTGACGTGCCTGGAGGGAAAACCTCCTGGGAATCATCCATATGCCACCTTGGGCCTCATGATAGAAGGCAGGTAGGGCACAAAATAAATTCTTTCATATCCACATCTTTTCCGGAAATGAAGTTTCGCTATCACCAAGGCTTTTCAGTCAACTTCTCTGACTGGAGGGCCTTAACAACAATACAGTGGTACCTCGGGTTACATATACTTCAGGTTACATACGCTTCAGGTTACAGACTCTGCTAACCCAGAAATAGTACCTCGGGTTAAGAACTTTGCTTCAGGATGAGAACAGAAATTGTGCTCCAGCGGCGTGGCAACAGCAGGAGGCCCCATTAGCTAAAGTGGTGCTTCAGGTTAAGAACCATTTCAGGTTAAGTACGGACCTCCAGAACGAATTAAGTACTTAACTCGAGGTACCACTGTAGCACATTACTTGTTTGTTGAAGAACTCAGGCCATTCTTCAGTTGCCAGGCTCAGGCCCTAAATGTTTACACTTCCAAGAGTAGGAGAGTCACCTCCATCTCATGGGACTAAAGATGTGTTAGGCAAGGAAGTTGAAGTTCCAAAAGCAGCAAGCAAAAGGTCAGGACGAACGAGGAGGAGTAGAGAGCATAATCCAATGCAGGCTGGAGGCAGGTGCTCAGCCTGTCAAGATTTACTTTGTTAGTTGGTGGTTACCAAGTTATTTCAGGCTCTTGATTAATGTGGGTTCCTTGGTCCCAGTCATTAGCTTGCAGCATTAAATTTTCCTCAAACTTTGACTGGGTGTTGGTGACTTCTGACTTCAGCTGGCTTGTAAATGGATATGAAAATCCCTTGGACTCGCAAAGACAAATTTGACCAAGCAAGACTCTCTACACTGTTCCTTTGTTCACCAAGCTGGTACTTAGTTGTATCCCCTTTGATAGTCACATTGTTTTGGCTAATATATGTGACAAATGGGCAAAGACTTTAGGTATGAGCCACAGAATCATTCTGATATGAGAGTGGCACTTAGCATTCAGGAGGACAGTATTCCTGATTCTCAGATAGCAACAGAAGTTAAACAAGGGGAGCAAAACCTTCTGAAGAGAGGGACTGCCTCTAACACAAATAAAAAGTATAAAGTGAAAGGCATAAAAGCGGCTGGAGTAACAAGAAACAGAACATTAGATAGAGGCACCAGATGTTGTTCAGTCGTAATGTCTTTGCCAATAGTCTTTTCTTAATTTCTTTTATATGATAATTGTCACTTATGGTAGATGATAATACTCCTTTTTCCTGTCTTGATTTAAATAAAACAATTAACTTTTATCACAGCATCTGGCTAAAAATACAATTGTTCACACATTCTCTTTCATAGCCTCAATTCAGCGATGACAAGTTGCATACAAGGTGGTTAGGAATATTCACGTTACAAAAAACTGCAG